TGTTTACTGTACGCCTGAATACCTTTTACTTGAAAAGAAAGATGCAGGGGTTTTCACCTCTCTGCCCATCCCCCATAAAATAACTCTCCCTGAGCTGCCTTTGCTAAACTCCAGGGCTCCCTCCAGCCAATTATGCTTGGACACAATTATGCTCTGCCTCCCACTCCACATTCCTAAGTTTTCATTCCTTCCAATTCCAGAAAGGGGACTGCACGCCAGAGGACACACCACTCCTCCGAGCCCAAAACCCTCTGTGACCGGCGTCTCCCATCTTTGGGCTTTTGAAACCCATAAGCACCCAAATCTGTCAGGCTGCCATGCCAGCTCTCCAAAGGAGGCAGGGACAGAGTCGCACAGGCCTAAAAGCACCATCAGTGTGGCGAAGCCCGCCAAGTTTGGTCTCCAGGGCTGCAGAGATGCAGGAAGGTATTTTCATTTCTCTGGCCCATCTGTGAGATGAATGAGTGAGAGACCTGATCTTCACTGAACCCAGAGAAACACTGCAATTTCATGTCATCCTGCTCTGGTTCTTAAAGTTATCTTGTTTTACATTCCATACTGATAGAATAACTACTGTGGCTCTTACTTCATTTTTAAAATCATTAGCAATACATTCAAGAATAACACGTGCACTTATATGGTATTTTTCATAGTCAAAATCTTGATGTTATCCCTCTACTCTGGTCAAACTTGTATTTTTAACACGAGAGCGTTATTTTGTTATTCCAGAAACTTAAACAGTTGTTTGATGTTTTCATAAATGTTAGTTATGGGAATTGACCAATGGCAGTTTTAAGTTTGGATTTTCTGTTATTAGAGTCAAGTACAGAAACTCAAAACTAGCTCAATACTATGGACACTTGATGGCACTGTTTTAGGAGTATCTTTTATTGACTATAAAAGAGCCTCTGGCCTCATGCTGACAGAGGCCTATTCTGTCCCTCACAACAGGACCGATTCAGCGGGCACCCTGGCACGGTCCCAGCAGTGAAGTGGGGTGTCCCAGTGTGGAGTGACTTCTCGCAGCCCCTCTGCACGGGCTGGCAGGAAGGCTGCTGTGCCGTGGGAGTACTTGGTACGCACAAGGTCAACACTCAAGAGTAAAAGTGAGCTGTTGGTACCATCACCTGATTTGGAATGTTACCCTTTTCCTTGTACCTTTTGAGGAGAAAACTAAAGGGATTCCCTAATCTTGGTTCTTTCACCCATAAATACCACAATAAGTGAAAGAATGAAAACTTGGGGGAATAAGGTGTCAAAAGGTCTTTGGGGCATTTTCATGATTTACATTTTTTTCAAAGGGTAGCCTGTAATTGAAACTTCCAAGTTCATAGGTATGGTACTTTATCTTTCTTTAATAAGCAGTATTTTCTGAGATGTATTTCAGGTAAACAAGAAATTTACAAATGTGAGCCTTTTGCAGTTACCTGAACACAAATAAGGTGTAATAACATTTATGTGTTGGGTTTACTTTTTCTAGCTTCTTTTATGTGTTCAGGATCATTTCTTCTAATAATAATTTTGTCTTCTGGCTATGTTTTGTCGCTATCTACAAATTCAAAAATGGAGAGCATTCATATTTCAAAGTGAGACGCAATGAATCAGGACAACACTGTTAGGAAAGAAAAAAATACCCAACAAAATATTAAGACCCATATATTTTTGTTTATATGACTAAGCATCATTTCCAATTCAGAAATATTCTTTAGAGTATCCCTTTAAAATACATGTTTTAACTACCCAACCAGAGAAAACTTGAAAGTTGGCTACTCAGATTTAGGGGATGGGGTTGTACAGACTGGATTTTTACAAAATCAAAATGAACCTTTTTAAAACCAAAAAGAAACGGGTACATTCACTTCGAATTCACACAGCCTACTTGCCTTTACAGTCTGCTGATAAACACTGACTTTTAAACATTGTTTATAAAATTAAATAACATGGAAAAATAAATATGCTTTATTATATAAACACATAGACATCTGTACTGCTCTAAGTATTCAGAAAATACTACGTGTGTTTGCTTAAAACTCTGTTCAGAAAACACGGTAATGATCTTCACAATCTTTTCTTTTCAAGATGGATGTAGTGAGGTTACGAGACACCGACGTTCAACATTTTCTCTCCCTACCTATAGAAGCTGCAAAGTTTAATATGAAAGTGAGGTAGATACAAGTTTGTAAGTTGGCCAGGCAGACACAGAAGCACAGCTCCTCTGTGAGCTCTGAAAGTGTCATTATTCAGATCGACAAGCATTTATCCTAAAGCACCTAGAGCAAGGCTCAGAGAACACTTTTAGGTTTGTCATAAACATCACAAAGAAGCAATTTCTGTCAAGAACAGCCAGTCTCCAGGCTGATCGCACACAGAAATGCCAGAGACGCACTGGAACAGCTCCGCCTGGCAAGCCTGCTCACTGGAATTATCTAGACAGGCTGCTTGCCCAGAATGCTCCGAGTTACAGCTCCTCTGGCATTGGCCTCTCTTTCCACGTGGACCCGTGTGCTCACAACACGAGGCACTCCTGGGACCGGCCGCAGAAGTCCACCGAGCAGCGGGGTGGGGCAAAGTTCCCAAAACAAGACAGGACCAAAAAGAGTCCCGGGAAGCATTTTTAAAAGGAGAGAAGAGGCTGAATCGGGGATGCTGTTTTTCACAGCCATGACCTCAGACCCGCAATGGCTCGAGCCAGGATCAGCGGAGTATCTAACGAGAGTATTGGAGCCCTAAGTGCACAGAAGCTTCATTTGGACTGTGGAAGCTGGATCAATAGTAACTCTGGGTTCTTTCCTAAAAACTGTTCTTTAGTAACAAATTGAAGTAGGCTATCTCCACTTTGACCTTGGAGAAACCTGCCTTGCACAGCAGTGGTCTCTTGACAGGCAGCAGCTAGGTGTGCAAGTCCTTGGGGACAGAAAGCAACTGGCAGGTGAGGGCTCGCTGCCTGATTTCTAGTCAGTTTAATCCACTTTCTCTTGAAAGCAACATGTTAGCACCTCAAGGGTACTTCTGACTGTTAATTTCACTGCCAGGCACCATGATGACTTTATGGCTATTAAAACAATTCAGGAAAGTATGCTCAGAGTCACTAAGATATGGCACCAAAGAGTCCACAGAAAGAGGCTGAAAACAAAAGCATGCAGTAAGGATCTAAAGGCTGCCCTCTCACACATACACTTTGGCAAAATAATATATTACCGATAGATCTATTTAAATAAAAAGCATCTGATTTAATTTTTAACATTATAATCTAAAGGCCTCAAAGAATTGACCTTGCTCTCTTGACGGGAGAGGCATTTAAATACGTATATATTCAAATAATGGTCACTTTACAAAGGAAGCATAAAAATCACATAAGCAGTCAAAGTGGTTTTTACATCCCATGCCCTTGCTCCTATGGGTACCAGAGTATTTAAAGTTTACTCTCTCTCCCCTTTCTCGTGTATCAGAACACTGTATGTGGGAATACGAACAGCTATAAAAATAAACTTCGTGTCTTCCATTAAAAGTAGCAGTTCAGGGCCGGGGATTTGGCTCAGTGGTTCCGCCGCCTGCCTTGCAAGCGTAAGGTCCTGAGTTCAGTTCCCGAGACCGAACGAAACAAAACAAACAAACAAACAAAAAAACCCAATGTAGCAGTTCATATTTTAAAACCTAAGCTCTTCAAATGTCTGTGGGGAAGGGTGATAATCCTGTGTAAAAACAGACAAAAGGCCCAGCTGTACTGCGAACATGCAAGTGCTGTGGAAATACACGCGTATGACTCAACTCAGCAGTCCAGACGGCCGAACGGGACTCGGGTGTTGGCACTGCGCTTGGCTGAATGAACAGAGTGTACTATAACTGGCTCAAGATGGAAAAAGGTTATGCAGCAGGTGGCTGCACAGCGCTGGGAGTGTCAGGAGATACATTTAACATTATCTTTGGTCTCTTCAGAGGGCTCATTTGCAAGGTGCCCTTATTACAGACAAAATAACCTGGGGGAACTGTCTGGGGCAGAGTGACACTTCCTAAACTCACAAATACAATCCTCACAGCCCAAATAGTGCAAATTCTTCTGGATTTCTGTGTACTACAAAGTGGGTGTTACCGGCTTGGTTCTAGATGCCGCCTCAGACACTGGGGCCTGTGGCTCTTCCCAGCACCAGTGTGTCCACCGTGCCACTCAGCTAAGCTGCGCTTCAGCTGCTACAGCACTTGGAACTCTTCCTCAGACTGAGAACCGTACTAAATAAATGGGCTTCTGGACTGGACTTCATGTGACACTGAATTCAGCTGCACTGCACATCTGTACTAACAGGAACCTTTACTGTATCTCTGGGAGGCAGCCCTAAAGTCTCCATAGCCTGGGCTCAGCTGCGCTAAGCTGTCGCTTGGACATGGCTGATCCTTCTGTTTCTGCCAAGCGCTGTCTCACAAGTCGGCAGAGTATTCAGCGGCAACCACTCATCACGTCACCACTGGCTAAGCAGTCAGAAAAAGAATTCTAGGACCAGAGCAAGTGGTCTCCAGCCCGTGTCTGTCCGGGTGGAAGGGGAAGAACATTTCAGACACCTGGAGAGGCACCACGTCACCTACTTCACTGCTGGTCATCTGTTTTTCCAAAATGGTTTCAGCCTCTTTGGGGCACAGGCTTTGTGTTGACTGTAACTAGTCAGCCCCAGGTCACACAGAGGCAAACTACACCATCGTAGGAAAAACTGCTTTGGCCTCAATAAGCAGGAATCCCCTCTCAAAAGTCCAAACTACCCCAGCTCTGCAGAGAAGGGAAGCCCCGCTGCTGAGCTGACAGTCGATCTCTCGCCCGAGTGATTCCAGCGAAAAGGAAGCTGCTCCCGCACCAGTTCCGGGGTGAGGTGCACATGCTCTGCCCATCAGGGCCACTGCGCACCCTCCGGAGAGCTCGCCGCTCGCACAGTTACGCAGGGGGCCCTCCCAGTCCCACGGGCCGCGGTCGCGGACCGCCCAAGCCAGACAAACACGAACACTTAGTGCCGTACCGGGCTCCACGGGCCAGCGCTCCAGGCGCCGTCGGGACAAGAGTGCGCACCGCACTGCTCGCGGTCCAGGGGCTTCTCCAGGACGTCGCAGCTCAGGTCCGGGAAGCGCTCACCGCTGGCCCGCTGGCACAGCACCAGCCTGGTGCGCACGCCTCCCCCGCAAGGCTTGGAGCACTGTGGGAGGCAGAAGGCGCGGTCAGTACTCACTGCACACCCCACTGGCTCCTTTCTCCACAGAAGACTTTCCTCAGCCTACTCTGAAAGTGCCCCCGGGCGGGGAGGTCGGGGCGCCGGGTGGGGCAAGAGGCCAGGAAGGGCGTACAGGCTCCTCACCTTTCCAGGGCCCTGTACGCGGGTCTCGTCAAGGGCCGGGCAGAGGAGGGGAGCAGGCCTGGGGGACTCATCAACCCGTTAGCCAGTAACTACAATAAAACTCTTTACAACAAAAAATACCCCGCAAAGAAAATGTAAAAAATATAATATAGATAAAGAAGATAATGAATTTGCCAATTGTATTTTCAGGCAACTTTTAAAAAAATGAATGGTACCAGGAGGTGAAGCGTACGTTGGGCTACTAGGCAGCATCCAGTACTGAGCTGCACCTCTAGCCCTTATTTTCCGGGAATTCTGAGTCAACACCAACGCTGGCGATTCTCGGACGCCAATATCTGCGGACCTTTACTGAAATAAGCTATTCTACCGTAGCTCTGAGTTCTGTGACAATTCATCTCGCTCCTGGGAGGAACAGTCGTGTGCTGGGAACGTCAGACAGAACACTGACGTCCTGGCCAGGACGGGGCTGTATTTCTTGGACAGCAACACTCCCCCTCCCCCAGGCCAGCTCTCCCATGGAATCTGGGAGATCGGTCTGCTGCCAGCCAGCACCCGGCAAAGATGTGCACGCCCCTGGCATGCAGCCGGGTACAAAGCCTAATCATGGGTCCCCTGGGACCCACTGGGAAAGGCTGGGATCCCACAGTGCCCTCCTTCCTCCCCACAGCTCTCGGCTGACGTAAGGAAGGCAGCCACAGCTCCCACTGCGTGAGCAGCCTGGGGACTATGGCCCGTCAGGCTCCTTTTTCTCTCTCCCTCTTAGTGCCTGCATTGCCCTGTTCTGTTTGATGAACTTTACAGTCAAGGCAGGACAACTCAACAAGCTTTAAGTGTCACATGCTCTCCCTGGGGATTCAACAACAGAGAGGTGTACGCTTGCTTCAACACAAAACAGAAAGCACTGGAGCCCCAGTAAAATAGGCGCTCAGTACCACACATAATGTGATAGTATTACTGATAATAATTACTCTTCTCAACACTACCGTATTAGTGCATTTCTACAATAGCAACTGACTGAAGGCGGTCGCCAGGCGTCGGACGGGGACCACCTCATGGAACAGTCGTGCACAGCACGAAGCTGTTCTTGGTGTTCTCACTTGGACATGAGGACACAGAGATTTGTCAGAGTTATGTGACTTTCCAGGGTCACAAACCGACGACAGCCAGGGCTAAGAACCGGACCAGTTCTGTGTGCTGCAGGAGACCACTGCCTTTTGCTGCATTTCCCTGAAAATGAGACCTAACTGGAAAATAAACCGTGGCATAGTTTTTCAGGATGTAGCCGCACTTCTGAGTAAGCCCTAGTTAACCTGTCAGCCAGATGGAAGCAGTTAATAGACTGTTGTAACCCAAGACGATGTACTGAATTATAATAATGCAGGATTAAATATGTCATTACTATTGACATGAATACAATAAATGATAATGTAAATTATAATTAAGTGTTTGTAAGTACCCAAGGAGGCACCTTTGGATGAGAGGTAAACATTTATGCAAACAGACGAATCTGAGACTTGCTGTCAAATGACCATTTGGGGCACAGACAAAACACAGGTGTGATGTGAGCGCCTCCTAATGAGCGGCCATGCTGTGTCCACCGCGAGTCTCCATATTCAGCACGTGCTGGGTTGTAACAGACGTGCTTAACGCGCTTGTGTGAAATAAAGAAACATTTTCTGAACTTTGGTGCCTGCACCTTTTCGTCCCTTTGTGCGGACCGTTACTCTTAGCTGCCACCGTTTGTGTTGCCTCGCCTGTCTCCTAAGTCTTCAGTTAACCCCTGATTTCATGGAAACCGTGAAGCCAGCCTGTGAGGGGCCGTAGCTTGGGTGAAGAATTCATGGGGTAAGATCACTGCCAGCTGATTACCAGGGCACTGTGAGCAAGCGACATGGAGAAGCAGTGCTCACTTAAGGAGAGCTCTACGGCTGGACACGAGAGACGGGGCCAGTGGTTCTACAGGAAATGGGGTCGCCAGAAATTCAGACTGGAATTCGGGGTTTAGGGTTATGATGTTCCAGAAGACGACATGGCTGCATGTGACTAAATGTACATTGTGTACAGGAATAAATGTAGATTGTGGGGGGGGGGAACTACATGAAAAAAATAAGATAACCCCTGAAGATAAGCCCTATTGTGTCTTTTGGAGAAGAATTAACATAAGACCCATTCTTATTTTTGAGGAAATACAGTATCAGTCACAGATGGTAACCTAGAAAAGCCAATGGCTGAGAATTTCATTATTTGAGAATATACAGCTAATTACTCACTTCTATGAATGAAACAACCCATCTGTGATAATGAGCCTCCTTCTGGCTTGAGTCAGAATTTGGAATATCAGGAAGCATTGTGCACAGGAAGAGGGGTGCACACAAATACCCCAAACCATGCAGAAGGGAAGACATCCACGGACTGATGTTACACATAATTTCTGTCACTGTAAAAGCTCTCATTTTAATCATCAGAGGTCAGTCCACAAACTTAGAGCAGTATTTATCCACATTCATTCCTAATTTTACTTCCCTATGAATTCAGACTGCTCATTTCAGTACCAGGTGAATGTTTTACATAGATGGTCTCCTAGTGCACCCCAAACCAAGCTGCTTCCACCAGAACCGGTGCTTCCCCCTTAAAGCAGGGCATGAACAGGAGCATCTCTCCCACAGGACGACAGACTGACCGGCAGACGCTCCTCCACTTACCTCGCCCCAGCTGCCAAACACCCACTGAGGACATGGGCCAGCCTCACAGGCTCTCTGCTCATCGGGTTTGATTCTCTCCACGCAGTCCCGCGCTGGGTACCCGTTCTCGTCCTGACACACCACAACCCGCCGCTGGGAGCCGCCTGCACAGGTGCTGGAACACTGAACACATAGTTCACGAGTCACCCTCAGCGCATGCGGGCAGCCGGCATCAGGCGGCAAGGGCCTCGTGGGAGGGAAGGAGCTCGGGCCGCAGCAGGGGTGGCAGGCATGGCCTTCAGATTTCCAAAGCACCTCACTTACTGCCCTCCTTCCTCTCTGCCTTGGTGGTGTGGATGGGCTGGCCTCACTGTTTATTTTTGTGTTTGTTTGTTTTTGTTTTGTTTTTGGTACCGGGGATCGAACTGGGGTCCTTGTGCTTGCGAGGTAGGCGCCGGAACTACTGAGCGAAATCCCCGAAATCCCCGGCCACCCAATGTTTATATGTAAGTTCTTGTCAGAACTGCAAGAGCTTTATATCTGTAACCAACATGTGACTTCCCTTTCAAAACAGAGAAGAGATTACAGGCCCAGGGAGTTGACAGGTGCTGGAATTGAGCTTCTGGTGCATTCGCCCAACTGCTCTGAGAGGCACTAGGTGTGCCCTGGGCACTCTCTGGTGACAGGTGGCCAGACAGGACGCACATGGTTACTCTCTGCATTTCCTATCCTGTTTACCCTGTGTGTTTTGCTGTAAAATCAGTTTGTTTATAAAACCACCATTTGGACCTCAAAGCAATGTCATTCCCAGGAATCACCAAGCTTCGAGCTGTATGTGCCTGCTTTGTTTTTAGTTCCAGGTAGTCCTTGAGGCTGATCTGTGACTTGTCCAACTCCAGCTCAAATCACTGTTATCTTAAAATATGCTCTGATATTGCTTCTTGCTGGTCAGTTTCTGCCTTATTGAGATGGAAATATATTTTGTTGCTAACTGCATGAATCACAGTTCAATTTCCCTGCCTGTGCTGGTCAAATAATAAGTGATTTTGGAGTGTACCCTCATTGGTATTTATACTCTCATTTTATACTAAACAGATTTATTAGTTCCAAGAAAATACTTACACACTGTCTTGGTTACTTCTCTCATTGCTGAGACAAAACACCCAATATCCAAAACTAAAGGAGGAAAGGTTTATTTTGGCTCATAATTTGTAGAGGTTTCAGTTGACAGTTGGCTGACTCTAAGGCAGGGTGGCCCGGCAGAGGGACATCGCAGGGGAGAAACAATTCATAGCAGGCAGAAGACTACAAAGCAGCAAAGCAGCAAACCATCACAGTAGCCCTCTTTCTTTCCCTTATATTCCTTCCAGGATATATGCCTTTAGGGTGGGGAAGCATTCTCACCTAGGGAGGGCCTTCCCATTATCCACAACCAGAGCTATGCCAGACCAGTCGGTAGGCTAATTTAGCAACCACACACCCTTAATCTCAGATCACATTCTAGATCCAGCTATCTCTAAAAAGCCCCACCTATGACCCCATGAGGCTCTGGGAGACATCTAGAAACAGGCTGTACAGATATGTTTTGATTTACAAAAATTCTACCACTATTCTCTGAGTGTTCTGGTATACTTAATCTAAACCTGGGTATATGTTTCTTGCTTTTAAAGAACTTCCTATGTAATGAAAAATACAGAAAGTATAATTTTAATTAGCATCATTGAGGGATTGGAATTTAGAGAGCTCTGTGTTAGACCTGTCGCAGTCTGGTCCCACATGGTGGGATGGTACACATGAAATCCTCTCCCTCCTGGAGGTTGACAGTGAGCACAGGGCAGAAGGAAAAACCCACACTGTCCAGCTGGGGCCACATTTAATTTAGGGAGAAAAACCATCCGAATCAAAATGAAGGTACAATGAAGAAAGCAAGATTATTTCCTATGCTGCAAAGGGCTTCTCTAATCCTTCTTAATTGGGAACTCTGCCTATGGGCAGAATCACTCAACCTTAAAGGAATACATCTTTCTCAAATGTAGTCCCAAATATTAAAGAATAGTACTAAGAGGTTTAAAAAAACCCAAAACAAAGCAATCCTAGTACTACCATTAGAAAACATACGTGAGTTCTAAATTCTTCAACCAAGAAAATCCGTGAGACTCTCAGATGCACAAGTGCATTCTAATTTCTCAGAACACTAATGTTTTCTAACCCAGGCAAAGAAGCCTTAAAGTAGGATGCCTTAGTGGGTGGAGGTGGGCCAGATGCTACTGTACATACAGCCCCCCCATACCCAAGGTGGGTGGGAAGCCGGAAGGCAAGTGACTAATTAGTATTCCCAGGGAAGGATAACCAGCTAATTCCTGAGACAACAATGGGTGGGAAACAGGCAGGGGCTAACTCACTCTTTTTAGTTCATAAATAATTAAACACAATTAGCACTAACAGCAAGAATCCAACAGCAATGGAAAAGAAGACCCCTGGATGGGCGGCATACCACTTTCTGGCTGGCTGTATGCCAAGTGGGGTCCCTTGTTACCCTGCCTCCCCCGAATTCATTAAGCGTGTCAGTATTCCACAACATAAAATTATCTCTACAAAATTATTCAGGGAAATAATTAAAAACACCCAAACGCACATTTTTCTTTTGCTATTAAATATTTTACCAGGCCTTCCTAAAGACATAATGACAACTGCCTGCATTTATGTCTCACACAATGGCAGGCAGGACACAGTAATTTATTTGTGTCATCTCATTTAATTCTTACACCCAAAGAAAGGGGGAATTAACTCATCCTCATTTTACTCACCAGTAAACTGAGGCTCACAGACAAGAGGGACCTGCCTGAGCCCCCTAATTTGAAAGCATAAGTCTTTGCATCAGGTGGTGGCCTTTCCCTCAGATCCTTGACCACCATTCATGGATAGTTCCCTGTCTGAGGCACAAGCTCTATCTGCAAGAGTACCTCCCCCTAGCCCCCCTAGTAAACAATGATTTACACTATCATACTGCACCCCCAGGAGACTGGGAGACTGCGCACATCCGGAAAGGGCGACAGCAAGCCCCTTCTGACACGGAGCTCTGCGCTCCCTCCCTCCTGCCACCCTGGCTTTTGCAGTGTCTTGCAGGAGGCACCTGATGTGTGGCCCGGCAGGGACGCCCACTCTGGCAGTCGGTCCCCAGGTGCACACAGGCAGCATCACCACAGGCATCTTCCCGGGGCTGTCACCAACCCACAGCGCGCACCCTCAAGGACCACCAGGGACAGCACAAGAAGCAGAGTTCAGGGACTCCAGCCCTCGCCCAGAATCTGCACCCCAAGCGAAAGCAGGTGTGCGCAGGTGCAGGAGGGAGTCCGACAGACACTCACCGCACCCCAAGGGCCCGTTCTCCACTGGTTTCCACCCAGCACATGGGTGCGGCTTGGGCTGGCGCCCCTGGGCCGGAAGTCCTCGTTTTGGAAAGGGTACGAAGCCAGGCCTCTGTCGGGGGTCCACCGTGGGCAGGGTGACAGGGAGCAGTCCTGGTGGGTCTCCGGGATGTAATCCAGGTCGCACTCACTCTGACTGACGACGTGGTCACTGTAGTTGACACACACCACTTGCCGCGTTGCCCGCCCCTGCCCACACGTCACGGAGCACTGTGTTCAGTTTAGGAAGAAAAGGACGCATCATTTGCCAGGTGGTTTCAAGTTCCTGAATGCACATTTCTGCAAATGGCCCAGCACTTCCCAGCTGCTCTGGTCAAAACTCTGCCCCCACATCATTTCACCGGAGCCTGTGAGCCCCCTATTAAAATGCACCCCAAGTCCAGCCACGGTTTCCCCATCCCCTCTCACGTACCAGCCATCACCTTCTCTCACCAGATTACCACGATGGCCTTAAACTGGGTTTCTTCCTACAACCTGACTCCCTGCCTCTCACTCTTGACAGGGAACCAAGAGCCCCTGGACTTCCAAGGGCCGCAAGGGCAGGAGGCGGCCGGCGTCACCACGAGAGCAGATCCCTGCACGCTCTGCCTTCCCTGCCACCGTGGTGCTCTCCAAACCTACCACACTGACACACTCAGTGCAGTATGGATTTCCAGCCAGCCCAGAGGACAGGAGCTCAAGTAGATTGTTAACAAAGTGTGTTCCTTGTGCACCTACGTGGTGCAGAATAATTTAAATCACAAACTGAGCCCAACTTGGAAATACCACTCCCCAGCACCACAGAGTCCGCACGCCAGCCGCTGGCCTACCACACTCCAGTCCGAAGCCTTCCACTGCCCACAGGGTGTCACGGCGCACTCCTCACTGGCCGCAGGTCTGGGCAGGCTGGTGCAGGCGTCCTCGTGGGCGACGGAGCCGTCCTCGCCCCGGCAGCTGACGTACCTCATGCGGGTGCCTTTTCCACAGGTGGCCGAGCACTGGGTATAGGAGCGGAAGAGCGCAGGCTTGCAGCGCAGAACCGCAGTGACCCTGCCCACACCCTACCGCCCCTCCCGGCCGGTGCCTACCGGAGTCCAAGACCCAAAGCGCCACTGTGTCCTTGGCGTGCCGTGGGAGCTCCTCCGTGATCCCGGGGCCGCCGGGGGAGGCTGACAAGGTGCCGCTTCACAGTCCTAGGTGTGAGGGGAAGGTGGTTACTCAGGGCAACACCCGTTTTCCTGGCCAGGGCTAAGAGTGCAGATTTCTGTGTCCCACAACAGACTCAAACAAAATGTGGTGCGGTCTTGTGGGCCTAATGCAGGGCAGGTCTACTTGGTGATGCTCAGAGCTGTACTTATGCATCTGTTTATGTGGAAGGAGAAGAAGGTGTTACGAAGTGGTATGTAGACTGAAAACAACAAGGTAACGTTTAAAAATGAACTGTTAGTATTGTGAAACTATCAAGGCTAAATTCTGTTCTCACATTTCAGTTAGTGCTATTGTCAAAATTTGCTAATCGAGAATTTGTTTTCCCAGTTTACCTAAAGATAACACCCGAAATCCTAAAGGTCAGATCTGGAAATAAAAGTGTATTCAGTAGGCCAGCGCCTGGAATTCTCCTAACAGCCCCAGTCACTGAGAGAGGCCCTACGATGAATCAAGTCCTGTGTGTGGACAACGTTCCCACACTCACATACCTCACCACAATGACCGCCGGCCACACTGGCCAGCACTTCCTCCTTGATTTAACTAATTTCCACCACATGCTGGAAGTGGATGCTGCTGGGCTGTGTGACCGATGCCTCCCTTACGACCACGCACAGGAGAAGTCGAGTCTGCAGCCTGGCTCCAGACTTGGCCTCTTCTTTTGCCGGCGTCCACAGAAAGCCCTGCTTTCCTGGAGTGAAGCAACTGCCCCCTGGCTGCAGTGGTCAGAGCCCGGGTGACGTCAAGGGAATCAGAGAGGAGTCCCGCTTAGTCTCTAAGGGAGTCGCTAATCACCTGCTTGTTGGCATCCGCAATGTCACAACTCACATTTCCCTGGCATTTATCACACCCGGAATGAAACGGTAAAGTGAAGGAGCCGTGAGGCTCGGGTGCTGTTTGGTTAACTGATTGAGACAGCAGAAGTACCACTGCCACATTCGCGTGCTGCTCCTTACCCGGCAGTGGCCCGAGCTGAGGCACACAGATGGGCTCACGGCCAAGCCTGGGGCAGGGGCTGCACTCAGAGCACGTTCAGCCGGCCGTGGCCCTAATCCCATCTTCAGCAATTAGCAAAGCCAACCCAGGCCCTCCCTTTACAGAAAGGACACCCAAGTCCACACTCAGAGAACGGTGCGCCGTGGAAAGAGCGCACTCTTTTGTGGGGAAAAGCTGTGTGTATTTGCACATTTTTGCACACCTGTACACAGAAATTACATGCAGTACATGTGTGTACATGCTCAGTTGTCATCAATTTTACTGAGCTAAAGGACGTGAAGCAAACAGTTCACAAATAACAATAAAACACAACTAGTTTAAATTCCACGTAGCTGACTGATTTTCCCACAAAATGCTTTGGTTGATTTTTGTTGAACTTTTTAAGCCTATTGCCAAACTACGAGCAATGTAGGTCTGACATGAATTATTAGTTGATACTTTTTTACATTTACAGAAAAGTGAGAAAGGTGATGCCACACACTAGTAATGCCACCACTGTAGGAAGCTGAGACAGGAGGATTCCAAATTCAAACCCAGCCTAGACAATTTAGTGACTTAGTGAGACTATCCCAATATAAAAATGAAAAAGGGTTGGGGTTTTAGTTGAATGCAGAGTCCCTGAGTTTAATCCCAAGTACCATAAAAATGAAGGTGAAACTGAAACAATAAGATGTTTGTCAGAACCTGACTCGCTGTCATTCCTTTGAAAGAATTCTTTAAACATCAAGATAATCTTCAAACACAAGAATTAGAAGATCTAATTTTTTGTTATTTACAATGTAACATACAGATAGAAGATAAAGTTTAATCTGCATCGTTAACATTTTTTCCATCACTTTCTTAAGTCTAAACAATAGACAAAATGGTAAATAATACCCCGTGATACAGCACTTGCTGATTTCTTTGGTGGAAATACTCTCACCAAGGCTAATCTCTAGCAGCCAACTGGGTATAAGAGTTGGGAAGATGTTCAGTAGCACACAGCTACATAATATATAACCATGCAAACAGACACAAGTGTAAGTAACCTGGGGGCACAGATAACAGTAACACACAGTAAAATAACTAGGAAGTGATACCTTAAAATCCTTAAAGCTTTGCTTTTAATATCATGTTTCATGACAGGTTTACATTTTCCCACCTGAATAATAGCTATATTTAACTCCCGGCTCACATTGTTCACATAAAATTTACCAGTTGGCTCCTGTGAGCTGGTCCAAGCTAGCTTCACCACTCACGTTCTGAACTTAGGGCATTAATTAAAGAATTCTACAAGGAAATCACTAAAAATCTGAGTTTAAGAAAACAAGAGCAAGCACATCTGACACCCAATATGAAGCAAAATCAAATCTACGTATATGTTAAATAACTAAGGAAGAACAAAGTCAGTAAAGCAAAATATCAGATTCTAATAGAGCAAATAAGTAAATCCAGACAAACTGATCAGCTGGCTTCTCTAGATGCATGATTATCTGAGGGATTCTGATGTTGTCTACACTCCCAGCAGGGTGGCATCCTAGCTCCAAAGAGCCAGTCCCAGTGGGAACAGGAGACCCACCTGGGTGTCAGTCGGTCTCGTGGCTGCATTGCAGTCACTGTCGTCCAGCACTGCCATGTAGGTCCCCAGGACACACTTCACTGCTCTCAGCTGGTAGCCCTGTCCACAGGTGACACTGCACTGGGGAACAAGAGGAGACAAGAAATGTACCATCTCTTCTTTCTCTTCCTTGCATCACAACATTTGGCAAGGGATAAATATTTCCATCACATCAGGCAAGGGGGCTGGCACCAAAGAATTTAGGTAAAAGGGGGCAATCTTGCTCATGAAAATTATATCAACCAATTATTATGGAGACATGAGATTTTATCTGCATGGTTCAACTCTTTGACCAAACTCTAGGAATTTCTATACTCTCTCATTTCTTTTCCTTTCACACTCTCCTTAACAGGGTACTGGGCCAAAACAAATTCTTAGAAGACTGCCATAACCTTACTCTGAGGAATTAATTGGAGTTCACATCAATATTTTTGGTTCATGGAATAATCAACAAAATTGACAAATGCTAAACTAGACTGACTAAGAACGAGAGAAAAGACTCCAATTGCTAAAATCAGAAGTGAAAGAGAGACATCACTACCAACACTACAGTAATCAAAAGGCTGACAAGAGAGTTCCTTGAACAATTTTATGCCCACATGCTAGATAATCTAGATGAACACGCAAACAAATTCAAATAGTCTAGAAACAAACATTATAAAAACTGAGACCAGAAGAAATAAAGGGCTGAGGGTGTAGCTCAGTGGCATGAGCTTAACACGCACGGGGCTCAGCACAAACTAAACCAAATAGAAGAGAACAAAGGAAAACACTAACTAAAAAGCAAAAAGAAAAAGAAGAGTGAATCAGTAATCAGAGACCTCCCAACAAAGAAAAGTCTAGGACCATGTTACAGGTGAATTCTACCAAATATTTAAGGAAATAATGAAGTCAATTCTTCCCAAATGCTTCAAAAATACTTCAGAGTAGGGAGCACTTCCCGACTCAATCCATGAGTTCAGCATCACCTTGGCACCAAAGCAGAACAAAACAAAACAGCACACACACACACACACACACACACACACACACTGGCACAAAGCTCTCAACAAACCACACCCAATAACATATTCAGAGAATTATTCATCTTGGCCAAGTGAGTATGGCCCAGGAATGTATGGGTGCTTTAACATGAAAATAAAATCAAAGAAATATATCAAATTAATAGCGTAAAGGGGGAAAAAGACACATGACCATCTCAGTTGATAAAGAAAGGGTATTTAACTAAATTGTAGGAGTAGAGGGGCACTTCGTCATAACATTTCAAGGCACTTCTGAAAACCCACACTACTGTCATACTCAATTGTCATAGACAATTTTTTTAAAAAGTCGAGTGTAATCCTAGTATGTTTTATAAATACTAAAGGGAATTCATAACCATCAGCACTGACAATCTCTGCTGTGTACAGCTAAGACTGCATTTGGTTTTCTTCTTTTTGCTAAATTACATTTTGTAAAATTTACTACAAATATTCATCACTTTTAGACAGTAATTTAAAAAAAACTGTTCCACTAAACCAAATGATTGGTCACAAAAAGAACGAATGTCTGGGTGTACAATGAACTAGGAACAGCCTGGTGTGGAAGTGGATAAAAGAATTCTCCAACCGGCTGCAAGAGTTGTGAACATTTCCTCTTCTTCCCTGAAGTTGTGCAGCTGTAGGCAGAGGCAGGCAGGCTTCCCGTGCCTAAGTGGGCTCTGCCTCTCCAGGCACGATTTACCAAGGGTCTGGGCGTCGGTGAAGAGGGGGCAACTCAGAAGCCTGTCGATGTGGATGCCAAACACTGCACGGGCAGGGACAAAGCCACTCCATTTACCGCATGCGGGCTTGGAGCGGAGAGGAGGCCCAGGGACAGGAGCAGCTGTGGCCAGTCAGAGTGCCCGGGGTCATTCTTCAGAGATTACGCTGGGCACGCAGAGTGCTGCACTTCTATATTAGGAAGGGCTGCATGGCAGCAGCACACGCAGGCCCAGGGAGCCTCCCTTCTCCTGAGGGATACTTACCTCAGCCCTGCAGCCTGCCAGCCAGCGGACAGGAAAGGCTCCCGTCCTCCTGCTTTGATTAAGCCTCGTGTCTGAAGAGTCAGGCTGACTTACAGAGGTGCACTTTGCGCTGTGATGCCGAGTGGGCCCCAAAATATCACTTCCAGGTCCCAGTTCCAGCCCGCCTGCCTGCCCGCCAGGGCACTGGCTGGCTTCCAACCACACTGAGGTAGAGTCCCGAGGCAAGCCCATCAGCCAGTGTGGATCTGCTCACACACGCGTGTGCAGCTGAAGCCGGGGTGGAAACTGCTCCTGAGTGTGACTGGAGTCACCGGCTTGCCTGCTGCCCACGCCTGCTGGCCCTTGCTGGTTCCTGCCGGCCACGGGAATGCACTGCCCGCCCTGCCCCATGGCCCTCTCCAGATAAGAAGAAAGGATGCCTAAGGATCTTATCTTCCATAGTGCTAGGTACCTGTCCCCAGGGCCCGGCCTGCCAGGATGCGCATTCCGACTGCTGACAGGGTTGCGTGGAAGCCGGCTTGGCCTCAGGGTTGCAGATTTTATCGCTCGCATGATCTTCACCGAACTGACACCAGACCTGCCGGTGCCTGCGCCCCTTCCCGCAGGTGACCAAGCACTGTAACGAAAAGCAGAGCCGCCAGGGCCGTCTCTGATGAGTGGGTGCCAGTGCGCTTGCTCCTGGACTGCAGGGACAGGTGTGCCTTTTCCCACAGCAGCACCCCTTGCCCACAGTGACAGGGATGCGTCGGCCCGCTTGGCTGTCCCGCTTGCTTTCCTTTCCTCTCTGCATTCCTAGCTTCTGGGCCACATCAGAGTCCACAGAGCACCATGCTCTAACGCCCTGAAGAACAACAGCCATTTTTCTAGCATTTGGGGTGAAGCACGGGGAACTCCGAGTCAGATCGACCTGGGTTTTATCCCCTGTACAACCAAGCCTTATGGTCTCTCTGTGCTTCATCTTCTTGTAAAATGAGGATATTTAATGTCTACTGCAAAGGGCTTTGAAAACTCACTGGGAAAAAAAAAAAAAAACAAGCCAAGGGAAGTGCTTAACACAAATTCCATTAAAAAACTGTAAATTAGAATTGTAATTATTATTCATGCTCATTTTAGAAAATTTGAAAAATACAGAAAGAACACAAAAGATGAAATTATAATAATCTCGCCTCTCACTACCCAGGGTGGGTATTATCAACACTTTGTTGTTTCCTTTCTGGCCTTTGCATCTGAGGGATCTTGAATCCCGAACTTGGTTTGCCCTTCCCCACCCACATTTTATCAAGTACTCTTGCAAAGGTCTGCTAATAAATTTGAAATGATACTTCAGCTAATGTCAGCTTTCCAAGTACAATTTAAACCCAATATCCTGCTTCACCGTTTTTAAACCAAGTTTTAGAGTTTAGCCTAGCACCCGAGCACCCCGCATGATCTGTCCGGGAATCGGCCCCGATGACCGCGGGCCCACTGCCCTTCCCCATGCCACCAGCATCAGCCATCCGGGTGCTGGATGTGAACAGTTACTGTGGCCCAGTTACATGGGCCGGACGGGGCACAGGGCCACAGCTGAGGCCGGAATGACTTTCTCTCCCGACATTCCCAACTTGGCTGGTTAATAATCAAGTCTCCCCTCTGAGAGAAGCTTGCTGTGCTGTGTTAACAGCTGGTGAGACCCTGTACCCTGAGTCTGAGACAGGCTCTGTGACTCCTCTCTCTGCCCTGGGGGATAAGCACCAGAGGCGATGCCTCATCCTTCAGAATCAGGCATGGAAAGGACAGAGAGCTTGCATGTTCAGCCTAGTCCTTTTCTCTTTTGTCCACGTTTTCCTCCACAATTGGATTCCTATGTAACAAGGGCCACTCATTACGGTCTACCCCGCTTACTTCCAAAAGAAGAGTAGGAAACCTCACACGGATTTCAAGCTAGCATGGCTTTCTGATCCATAAAGTGCTGGTTTGCAGTCAGCCACTCAGCTTGCACTCAAAGAGGTGACAAGGTGAGGAGAGAGAAGCTGGTGTGGCTCAGCCGAGGCCAGGGTGACCCTGGAGTCACTGGTGGCTTAGTCACAGCCAGTGTCATGGTCACGGTATGGGTGGAGCTGGGGTTGTCGTTTCCTCAAATGGAGGAGGAAAAAAGGGTCGGCAGCTTTACCCTTACGCAGGCCAGGGGAGAACCAGGAGGGCGTCTGGGATGAGCTCAGGAACGACTGTCCCTCACCTCTGACCAGTCTCCTGACTTCCACTGTGGACAGGGGAGTTCGTTGCATCTCTGAGTGGTGACTTTTTCCTGGTGGGCGCATTTGCTGTCATCCAGGACATCATTTCGGGAGTTCACACAAATGGCCCGTCTCCTCTGGCTTCCGCCATCACAGCTTTTAGAACACTACAAGGAGAACAAGTTAAACAGAACCACTGTCCAGTTTCTTATAAAGTGAGAGCAAACTCCTGGCTAGGCTGTCTCTTCCAACCCTTTGGAACCAATCCACCCTGGGGAAGCTAGTTTTTATTTTGTGCTACCAATGTATTTACCAGGTTTATACTGCTGGATCAGGAAAATAAGGCTGGGAGTGGCTTATGGGGTATAGAAAAGCTGGGAGATCGGTTGATTCACTCCCAGTTTTCCCCACATCAGGTTGTGTCAGACATTACAAATCAACCATGGATTCTCTCCCACAGAGCTTAAACGAGCGTGGCCATTATGACTCAATTACGGATTTCTTTTCCCTTGGCCCACATCGAGGTGTCTTCACAGTCCTGTGTGGGTCAGACTGGTCAGACTCCAACTTACTTCAGTCCACGCCGAGTAGCGCCAGACCCCCATGTTACATTCTCCTGAGCACTTTTCCTGGTTGGTTGGTTTGGGGTGATTGCTGCAAAAACCGTCGTCCACCTTCTCCACCTTCCCGTCCAGCCTGCTGTACTTGGCACAGTAGATGTCCAGTGTGCGGTAGCCCAGCCCACACTGGGCACTGCATTCGCTCCTGCCACCCACGTGCCACCTGTGAACAAATGGGGAGAAACCAACAGTCCGACTGAACACTCGTGCACACTGTGCAGTGAGTGGGGCAGGCGGGTTCTTTTCTCTTCCTTAGCTCAGACACTATGAAGCTGGAAGCCACAGTTACTAAGGTGAGATTTTAAACCCACGCATCCATGTAATCTTCGTGGACACGGAAGTCAGACAGTGGGAGGTGGGGGCCCTGTCTCTGTAACGGTCCACTGATACAGTCGATCTGAAACTCAAGGCACCAGAAAGAAAAAAAAATGAAACTCAGCAGAGCAAAGAAGAAGCAATTTTATATTTAAAAGTCCAGGTAATCTAACACTTGATTTGGCTTCAGACAGAGAAGGCCCTGGAAGCTCAGCCCAGGAGCCCCCTGTGATGTGGGCCATACTAGAAAGTGCGTGGAGTGTTCCGCAAATTAACGACTTCAAGTGTGCATTTTTACCTCTGTATAGTCTCCTAAGTTCCTTGAAGTTATGAACCATTTTTTATAAAACATACAGATGTTTAAAGTCATGTTTTACTCTACAAATCTTTGGCACCCTGATAACCCACGTAGCTATGAGGAAACTTTCTCAGCACACAGCAAGTTTTCAGTATCTGCTGGCCGACTCTAGTTCTTGAAGTGCCCCAGGAACAGGTATGGCAGTGTTTAAATTTAAAAAGAAAATAAATAAAATGCTAGAATAGTGGAATAGTCTAAATAGAGGAACTTGAAAGATATTTGGTCAATTAGATTTACCAATCCACAAAAGATAATTTCTTAAAATCTTCACTTGCTTTCACTCTTGATTTTTAATTCTCTACTGCTCAGAAATTGAGCGCTTTTCTCACTTCCAGTGTGCGAAGAGTTCTTCCACCCACACCTGTCCGCAGGAGGACGTGGGTGTCACAAGAGGAATACTGACCACAGAATGCCATGGCATTCCTCAGGACGGCCCCAAAGTAGGTCAGAGGTGACCGCTACCACTGAAGTGGGCGAGGAGACTGTTCGTTAGAGTGACACAGCATTTGTGGGATTTTGCTCTAATCCGGAACACATACATGAGGGCTTGTAAACCAATGCTTTATCTCTTCCTGTCACAGTTTAATCAAGGCAAACTCTCACTTCCTGCAGGAAATAAGGCAAAAATATGGACCAATTCAAGAGAGGCATCTGGAACCTTCATCTGCACCTTGATTCTTGGCTACCTTGTCTGCCTTCGTCACTGCTGCCCTGTGGAAATGTCATTTTCCATCTGGGTTCGGGGAGGCAGGCGTCCTGCCCACACAAGACAACACCCCGGCAGGCAGCAGGGCTGCAAAAGTCATTTCTCTGATGTTCACACAACCCCAGAGTCTAAGCAGAGAACCTAGAAGACTTTCAGGGAGGCAAGGCATTGCTTTAGAAAATTCCTTTCCATACATGTCTCTTTCAGGACAGAGATCTTCAGGGTTTTGAGTTCACTCAGTTCATATCATGGAAAATAAAATCTAACTGCATTTAATGACTGTATCAGAAGAGCATATCTCAATGTGTTTGCCAGCAGGTGGAAGGGGGAGAAATGTGTGGTCATATTTGTGGGGTGGGGTGGGAATAAATGACTCTGAGAAGTGCTGGATTATACCGGTTTCTACATCACAGATCTCCGGATCTTCACCACACTCTGCAGTATGAATCTCCACCTGGGAGGCTGTTAAGTACGGCTTCTCACGCTGGTTTCCCAAAGATCACAATATCCACAAAAATGCTCTGGGAAAAACTATGATAGAGTTAACCGATTGGTAACAGTCCTCTCCATCTTACAGTTCTGCCTGTGAGCTACTGGACAAGTCACCATGATTATATTGACTGTCAGGTGTTGGTACAAAGCCAGGACACTTTCTTTAGCCTTGGTTTGCACCTGTACATTTTTCAGTAAACAACTTCATTTTCAAACAATCTACAAAAGCCAGTAATATGTAAGTTTGAGTGTTGACAAAATACCATGACCTTCTGTTTAATCAGGTATGAGCACCTCCTTGTCTGGTTCTGAGGTGCCTGAAGCTAATCCTAACTGCTCTTTTACTCTTTTCACTTTTCAATTCCCACACCAGTTGCCTGCCTCTTCTAGGACGAGGCATGACCACAGTCTCCTATCTGCCCTTCAGCAGTGAGAGGGCCTGCATTTTCTGGCCTGGTGCTCTGAGCTGCCATCCTCATTTAGTCTCAGTAGAGTTTTAAAAAAGTTTTTAAAATGTGATTTCTTCAAATGGAGTTTAGAATAGCACACCCGACAGTGAAAAAAGACTTTGAGCCCTGGTTTTACCGCAGTTCCATGAGATTCTGTTTAATGACAACAAGCAGTGGGTCCAAGGCTGGACATGGCCGTGCACCCTTGCACCTCCCACGTGGGGATCCAGGTAAGCTGGCCTGGCTCGCAGAGCCCGGCTCCTCACAGATGTGGAGGGAACAGCACCTGGCTCACAGGGGCACTGGCGGATCAGGCGGGGCAAGGCATGCACAGCACCTGGCACACAGGACAAATACTCAAGAAAAGCAGCCTTGGCTATCATGACTTAGTATTATCCTTGGTGTTTCATTCTCAAGCAAATTTTAAATATCACATAACTGCACAAAAACCAGTGTGGAGAAAGCTATCTGAGGCAGGCTGCCAGTGCAGGAGACCCTCTGGGGAGGCCATGAAAGCTGGCACCATCTCGAATGCACACTGGAATCTGCTCACAGGGAAAAATATTAGCTTCCTCTGTAATAGTGCAAGGCTATCTCCACCACACTGGAACCGGTGCTCCTGGGGGGAACTCCCTCAAGTGGGGTTAACTCAAAGAGCGCTGTCCACCTGCACCGGTCACCTTGTGTCCCTCGAAAGGCTCTGCACAGACTCTCCGCCTCTGCTGGCCCCGAGCAGGCTGCATATTGTAGGCAGCGGTCCCACAGCACTGTCAGCCACCCTGAGACTGAGCCAGCAGGGTTAATTCAGCTGGCGGGAGACACCAGGTGAGGGAGCAGGGGCAGGAGGAGGGACACAGGGAGGGCACAGAAGGGTGGGAACCAGTCCTTCTCATGGGAGAAAAAGCCCTGTGGAATGTGCTCTGGGAACACCAAGCACGGAAACAGCCTCTCCGCAGGGCAGCTCACAGGCTGGGTGTCATGTGAACCACTCACATGTGCATGACCATGGTGTGACCCCGAGCTGCCCCCACAGCTCTGTCAGCCCTGTTTTTGTTCTACTTATTTGTAGAAATGGTGTGAACGTTTCTATCATGGCGCTGTTCTAGAAATGAACAGGACACTATTTATATTAAAAGGATAATATGTATAAGACTACAGAATAATATAAAAGCTATACCATAGGGCCAGGGATGTAGGTCGAGAGGAAGACA